GTGGTGGGTGGTGGTGGGTGGTTGGGGTCCCATAGGTGGCGGGGGTTGCCGGCAAGGGCCGGAGTGGGAGGTGGGAGGTCGGCTGCTGGGTGGGCTGCGGTGCAGGTGGGGTGTGGTGTGGGGGAGCGGAAAGCTTATCATCCTGTGGAGCGAGGGGTTGACGGGCATAGGGCAGTTCGCTGGTGCCGCCCTTCTATGCAGGGGGTGCTCGCTCCGCTCTTGGTCACTGGGCGTTTGCCGCCGCCTCTGGACGGCGTGTAGCGTTGGGGGCGATGCCGCGCTGCACGTCAAAGCCGGCGATCTGACGTGGATGCGCAGCACTTTTCCGCCTCCGCAGGCACGACCACGTGCATTCAAAGGGACCCACAGCGGCACTTCGTACATGCATGCCCAGGCCCCTGGGCCTCCCGCTCGTCCACTCACCCCCTCTTCAACATCTCCACCACCGCCCAGCCCTGCAATCGCCGCGCTGGTCGCAGTCTCCCAATTGCAACGACAAAATTGCCCCACCCGCAGGCCGCGTTCCGCCGCATCAGCCTGGACGTGTTTGGCCACCTGCTGGCGCTGGACCTGCACTGGCATCTGCACCGCAAGACGGGGCAGGTCATGCGGATACTGGACCGCGGGACCACCAGCATACAGGCGCGACACGCTGGGGTTTGTCTGGGTCGGGCTTGACAGGACGGGGCTGAGACACTGCCGGCAGTGTGTGGCCTGCACCGTCGGGGCGCGGCGGCGCCCTGGGGCCGTTTTTGTCGCGCTGGTTGCCAGCCGAGCGCGCGGGCTTCTGGGATGTCTTGTTGTTGTGGGCGGTTGATATCCAGTGGCGTGAGAATTCGTTTCAGCTGCAAACCGCCTCACCTGATAGTCGTCTTGAAGGCTGCCAATGCACACGCGTACTTGCTCCTGCCCACAACACGTGCACACTGCATGGAACGGTGCATCACCAAGCGTGCAGTACAATCGGCTTGCTTGTCGTCACCAACCTCGTCTTGAGAGGCAGCCCTTTTCCCAATGATGCACACTTGCCATCCGCGCGCGCTCACCCCCTCCACACACGCACACACACACACACACACACACACACACACACACACACACACACACACACACACACACACACACACACACACACACACACACACACACACACACACACA